CGGACCAGTGATGGACCAGTGATGACGGACCAGTGATGACGGACCAGTGATGGACCAGTAATGACGGACCAGTGATGGACCAGTAATGAATGATGAACCAGTGATGACGGACCAGTGATGATGGACCAGTGATGACGGACCAGTGATGATGGACCAGTGATTGACCAGTAATGACGGACCAGTGATGGACCAGTGATGGACCAGTAATGAATGATGAACCAGTGATGGACCAGTAATGACGGACCAGTAATTACCTAATTACCTAAGTGTAGTTACTGGATGAGAGCTACGCTCGTGATGGATCAGTAATGACGGACCAGTGATGGACCAGTAATGAAGGGCCAGTGATGATGGGCCAGTGATGACTGACCAGTGATGACTGACCAGTGATGAGGAACCAGTGATGGACCAGTGATGACGGACCAGTGATGATGGACCAGTGTTGGACCAGTGATGATGAGGGGCCAGTGATGGACCTGTGATAATGGACCAGTGATGGACCAAGTATGATGGACCAGTGATAACGGACCAGTGATGGACCAGTGATGACGGACCACTGATGGACGAGTGATGATGGACTAGTGATGGACCAAGTATGACGGACCAGTGATGGACCAGTGATGGACCAGTGATGGACCAGTGATGACGGACCATCAATGCACTGAATACCCGAAATAAATCATTATATATTTACATTTTACTGAAAATTTCCACTAAAATACTTAGTGGCAGTAAAGTGCTATGCTCTTTACGATTTTATTATATACTTTTGTGTATAATCTGAGCAGATGTTTATGTATATTTCTGTTGTATGACTTTTATTTTATGACTTTTTATGTTCTTTTCTAATGTTCGGGAGTCAGGGTTTTTATGGGAATAAATACCGTGTTGGGCTGTTTATCCTACTGCACCTTACTGGTCAGTAAGGTGCAGTAATGCTCTTACTGAACACTTGGACGGTCGGGGATTGGACGCCGACCCATGGGCACCACACCACATGTGAGAGTTTGACTTAGATTAAGTGGGAATAAATGAAATTGGCATAAGAATTGAGCTCGGAAAATTTCTAAGAATTTTCTTTATTCTTTAACCTTTATTCCTGTCGTGATATTCAATTAGGTCGCCCGAGGAAGGACGTACTTAGATAACACACCAGTGTAGTAAGCAGCTCATTCCTCACTTTGGGACCATGTATGAACAATTGACTAGGCGCGAGCAAATGCCGAGACCCCAATGAAAATTGAAATCCTTTCCACTTGGGCCGACGACCTTCGCCATTCGCCGAAGGGAATCTAACGAGTTGGTCCTGGGCTCTCAAAACAATAATTTTATTATTATTATTATTATTATTATTTTCTACCACAGACGTGGCCACACATTTACAATGCTAACCAGCATATATACATTTTCTTCTGTCCTCCATGGACAGGGTTAGAGAAGTGTTAAACATATAGTTCAAGGGTTTATTGAACACTCAACCACAGAAGGTGATTCGGTGCTTTTAAAATGCTAAGCTAACCTACATACGTAAATACATAGATACACAGATTTACGTATGCCCAAGTGACATAAAGTGTTAGATGTGTCTTTTACATGAGAGTTGGCAACATAGAGGACACGGCAAACCTCCAATCAGATGTTGATCAGGTCTTTCTATGGGCTACAGAAAATAATATGGTATTCAACGAGGATAAGTTTCAGCTCATGCGCTACGGAAAAATTGAAAACATAAAAACAGGAACCACGTACAAAACGCAGGCAAATCATAACATAGAACGAAAAGGCAATGTAAAGGACCTGGGTGTACTCATGTCGGAAGACCTTACCTTTAAAGAACACAATAAAGTAGCCGTCACAACTGCAAGAAAAATGACAGGTTGGATAACAAGAACTTTTCACACTAGAGATGCTATACCGATGATGATACTTTTCAAAACGCTTGTGCTATCTAGAGTGGAGTACTGCTGCACAATGACAGCCCCTTTCAAAGCTGGAGAAATTGCTGACCTAGAGAGCGTGCAGAGATCCTTTACTGCTAGAATCCACTCAGTAAAACATCTAAATTACTGGGACCGACTAAAGAGCCTAAATCTGTACTCCCTTGAGCGCAGGCGGGAGAGATACATAATAATTTACACGTGGAAAATAATTGAGGGGCTGGTCCCAAACCTGCACACAGAAATAACACCACATGAGACCAGAAGACATGGCAGGATGTGCAGAATACCCCCGTTGAAAAGCAGAGGTGCAACAGGTACTCTGAGAGAGAACTCTATCAACATCAGAGGCCCGAGACTGTTCAACACGCTTCCACTACACATAAGGGGCATAACTGGCAAACCCCTCACAGTGTTCAAGAGAGAACTGGATAAGCACCTCCAAAGGATACCTGATCAACCAGGCTGTGACTCATACGTCAGGCTGCGAGCAGCCGCGTCTAACAGCCTGGTTGATCAGTCCAGCAACCAGGAGGCCTGGTCGACGACCGGGCCGCGGGGACACTAAGCCCCGGAAGCACCTCAAGGTAGCCTCAAGGTAAGGTACATAGTGTCATTAATGTACATTCACAAAGGTGAAATGTAATTCTGATCAGCTTCCATATATACTTTATACCCATACATATACATATGCACACACACATATACATACATATATGCACACACATGCATTCACATACATTTGTCTCATTTACTCTGACAGGGTGAGATAGCTGATAAAGAAACTAGTGTGCAATTAAGCACTTAATCACTGAAGGTGATGAAGGTGCTTTTACAAGCTCAGGTTATATAGTTATATCATATATATACATTGTATGATTGATATATTACATGGTCAACCTTGGATACAAGTCCAATATATCATCAAGTGTTCCAGTACTCATATAGTAATTACAAAGTTCAGCATAAGTTCAGTCAACCCATGTATTTTTTTTTTTTTTTTTTTTTTTTTAAATCAACGCTGTTTGAATGTAATTTTCTGTAATAATTTGTAATTGTATTTGTGCTGCTTTTTCAACAATGTTCCCCCCTCTTTTACCTCTATTTTTATTTGTACTCAACACATCTTATTCTTTTTACCCATTAGTTTTAAGCTTTAGTCATTAATGTTTTTCCTGCCTGAAACGCTTTGCGTAATAGTGGCTTTAGGCATTGTATGTACTAGCTCTATCTATAAAGCCAACAAACTTTGTAAAATCTCTTTATGTATGTACCTTACCTAAATAAAAATTATTATTATTATTATTATTATGTATATGAGTGGGATTGGGTGATTATAGATAGGAGCTGCCTCGTATGGGCCAATAGGCCTTCTGCAGTTACCTTTGTTCTTATGTTCTTATAATTACTAAGCAATTATCCCATTATCTATCACATTTATTTATTTATTTATTTATATATATACAAGAAGGTACATTGGATTTGTGAGAATACATTGGATAGTACAGTATTTACATTCTTGTAAAGCCACTATATGCGCAGCGTTTCGGGCAGGTCCTTAATCTAGCAGATAATTTTAAGGGGTTTGCTATATGAAAATTTAAAAGTTGTTGTAGGGCATTGAAAATTTATTATCCTGATACATGTGAAAGGTGCTGCAACTGGGCCAAGTTTCAGCATCGCAGCCTAAATAGAGAGGGAGAAAAAAATTAAAAAAATTTTTAGACAATTTTTCCACAATGTTCAAATCATTTCACAGCCCACAATTGTGAACCGAAATCAGTTCTATGACACTTAGCTATGACCTTACTATATAATAAAGATTTGTCTGGTGGATTTTTATCCCAGATGTATTTAGTGCAATAATACAGATTTTGTAAATTTCCCAAAAATTCTATGCAACAATATGATATTTATAAATATTTATAAAATCAATTTATCTACGTAGAAAGAAAAGCCACCACAATGTTTTAGAGGCATAAACTCTACATATAATGTGCAAGTTTCATGTAAATTGAATAATAAATAAAGTCTGTGAAATCAGATAAAATTGTAAAATATTTACCTGCACAAACAGAGGTTAAAGTTCAGCCACCTTTAGCTGAGGTTGATGTTGACCAATATCATTCAAAATTTGCACCCCTGTAGATAGGCTTGGATTCAGTAAGGTGTGCAAGTTCCATGCAGATCGCCTGATAAAAAAAAAAAAAAATTAAAAAAAAAAAAAAAAAAAATATATATATATTTGCCACCAGTTTTATATGTACAAATATTTATGAAGTAATATCACAATATAACACTAAAACATACTAACCTAATATAATTGGTCAGAAATATGGGTCCTCAAGGTGGCACTGGAGTGGCACTAGTAGGCACCTGTGCCATAGCTGGGGGTCAGCCCCCTCAGGGGCCTTTCTTGGTTTGGATGTGCGTCTCGTTGGTCTCTGCATATCCTTGTCCTTTTTGTTCAAGTACCAGTCCAGTTAGATTTGGAGTAGCAGGTGCAAGACCTGGAGTAGAAGGTGGAAAATGTGCGGTGGCAGAGGGTGGGATTGTGGGGGGGGGGGCAGTGGGCTGCATCTACGGGCAGCTAGCATGCTTTCAGCTTTCATAGTTTTCCTCATCTTCGTTTTGTACGTCATTTTGCAGTAAAAAATAGCACAAATTGTGAGAGCGCGTCCATGATAGGTCCACCAGCTGAGGGACACAAAGAGTGACTGACTTAGCCAGCAAGCCTATTACATCTGTCCAGGAAGAGATTCAGACAAGGATTTGCATTTAAGAACAGGGTTTTGTGAATGTAGTTGACACAAGAGAATTTCAGTCATAGTCTACTTTTTGGGTGCTTTCTCAGTGTCAGTTTCTCAGAACATCAGTCATAGCCTACTTTTTGGGTGCTTTCTCAGTGTCAGTCATTTTAACATATACTTTATAATGCTTTTATTTTAAATGTACATTCAAGATATGTAATATAATATTATGTACACTTTCTATATACTGTATAAATTTCCAGGTAACATGTTGCAGGCCATATACACTGAAGTGAATGAACTGAAAAGTGATATGAAGATATTGAAAACAACTTTGACTACAAAAGAAGCAGACAAGATCATAGAAGATCTAATACCAAGTCCTATTGCTGCAGAAGGTGATCTGAATGCTCTCAATAGGAAGTTAGCGGAATCGAGTTTCAGAACAAAATTTGTAAGTGGTATTTTAACAGTAATATTTCCTTCAATTTTTCATCTTCTTAAATATTACAGGTATTTGCTAATTTTCTAATTAAATTTTTTTGGTAGTTCATGCAGAAAAGATAAAATTGCTAAATAATAAGAATAATGATATAATCTTGTTTATATAGGATAGGATAAAATCTAACACTTACGTATTTGTAAATTATGTAATATTAACACAGAGTCTTTCACATTCTCCTGAGTGCTTTCTCAAGGTCTTGAGTGTATGGTTAGGATGAGGCTTACATTTCAACGACAATATTTCTCTTGCTAATTTTGTTAGTCGTTGAGATGTATCTCTTCATAACACACACTTATCTGCTTGATGGGGGTCTGGGAGTTCTTCTACTCCCCAAGCCTGGCCCGAGGCTAGGCTTGACTTGAGAGCTTTGTTCTAGTGCTTGGCTTGGGCTTGGTGATTGTGGGGATTATCATAGAGGATTACATGCTGTTATGGAAATACTGTAGTCAACTAGAGGGTTATTTTGTAGACCCAGGTCAATATTGAAATCACCTCCTAAAATGATGTGATTTTTGTTGAGATGTTATTTATGATAAGATTCCTTATCATAAATAAGTTATTTATGATGATATATATATATATATATATATATATATATATATATATATATATATATATATATATGTCGTACCTAGTAGCCAGAACGCACTTCTCAGCCTACTATGCAAGGCCCGATTTGCCTAATAAGCCAAGTTTTCATGAATTAATTGTTTTTCGACTACCTAACCTACCTAACCTAACCTAACCTAGCTTTTTCGGCTACCTAACCTAACCTAACCTATAAAGATAGGTTAGGTAGGGTTGGTTAGGTTCGGTCATATATCTACGTTAATTTTAACTCCAATAAAAAAAATTTACCTCATACATAATGAAATGGGTAGCTTTATCATTTCATAAGAAAAAAATTAGAGAAAATATATTAATTCAGGAAAACTTGGCTTATTAGGCAAATCGGGCTCTGCATAGTAGGCTGAGAAGTGCGTTCTGGCTACTAGGTACGACATATATATTTATATATATATATATATATATATATATATATATATATATATATATATATATATATATATATATATATATATATATATATATATATTATTAAATATGACCGAAAAAGTAAGATTAATAATTCTAACACGAATTTTCTCAATCTTTCGTATATTTCTTTTCACTGTTGGAGGTAAATCAAAAATCAATTCTCCAAAATTCATTTTTGTTTCTAGTCTGACGCGACACGAGCGCGTTTCGTAAAACTTATTACATTTTCAAAGACTTTAGTTCACAAATACACAACTGAATAGAACTTACGCATCTCTGATTTTATATCTACATTTGAGTGAGGTGGAAGGGGTGATGTGGCATTAACACAAGACAGAACAAGATGTGGCATTAATAGGGTATTAATTTCATCAACACAAGACAGAACAAGAGGTGGTATTAATAGGGTATTAATTTCATCAACACAAGACAGAACACGAAACATTGGATATTGAATAGAAGTGTTTGTAGAAAGCCTATTGGTCCATATTTCTTGATGCTTCTATATTGGAGCGGAGTCTTGAGGTGGGTAGAATATAGTTGTGCAATAATTTGCAAATTTTGCAAAAATTTGCAAAAGATTGCAATTGCAATCAACAGCCAATTATGGTGCTTCTTCTTTATGATAGGTGCAGTGTGTGTCAAGGTTTTCCCTTAATGCTCGTGCTGCTAAAATGGCGACGGCGGGTGCTGCTAAAATGGCGACGGTTGTTTACCCTCTCATCACCTAAGCGTTCCAATGTTTTTGTCTGGTTCCACATATCATTTTTCCTACTTCTTATTTTTGTTTATAATTGGTCATTTACAATTAACGCTTGTATTTATCCCCATGTTTTTCAATCAAAGAATATACTTGGAATTGTTTCTTTTAACATAATGCTACATGATTATATTTTTTTGAAGGAAACAGCTCTCCCATAGTGGATGTGCTCCGAACCATAATGGAATTGACCCAATTATCAGTTGGGTCAACCCAAGTATCGCGTTTCCAAAATGGTCGCCCATGTTGGAATAGACGAACGCCGAATAAATATGGTTGAAAACATCTTGATAACTTAAATTATTTATTAGTCACAAGAATGACAGAAATAGAAACTTTATATAAAACCTTTCCCAGACAAATATTTTTTAAGTAAAACTGCAGATATTTGTAGTTGTATAAAAGTGGCAGTTTAGTCACTCCGTAAATTGACAACATCGCACACTAATATTTTTACCACTCTCGCATGTGTACGTGTTCACTATTAAAACGACAATATAATGCAATTAATAATTAAAATCTTCTACTTGACAGGCATATAGTTATTAAATTAAATTGAAATTGAAATAAGTTTATTGATGTAAAATACACACAAAGGGATGAGGTAGCTCAAGCTATTCTCACCCCGTTCAGAACATCGTGTTAATACATATATATACACACATTACAAACAATAAACATATTACCAAACATTCTGAGAGGTAAACATATACATTTCCTCCTTCACAAGTAGTTTAGTGATTGTCATGTTCAGAGAAAACGTTTATATGTGTTGTGGCTCAGCTGCCAGCAAAGAGGTAAACAAGAAAGTGTACAGGACGCCAAGCTTGGTAGCTACTAGTCATGTAATCGTTTATAAGTATTAAAGTCAGTAACCAAGCAATGGCTTTATATCAACCCTACAACCAAGAGTTCCTCAGCAACACGCAAACACCACACTGGCGATGCGGATGTACTGTGAACGCAGGTATTTGTTCAACCCCAGCTCGGTCCGTCTAATTACCACACGCTAACACAAGCTACACAAGCATCAGAAAACTTCCTGGCAATACGTTAGTAATGAATAAATATGATATATTTACTCATTATAATGTTGGTGCTGAACGTACAACACGAAAAAACATAATTTTAATCTGAAAAAGTATCTTTTTACAAAGAAATTAGACGAAAATAAAAAGCTGGTGACGCCAAATCAAGTCGACGATCCAAGCGTCAATGTTGTGGAACGACTTATCCAAGACAGATTGTTTCCTGGAGAGTGTTTGCTGGCATATCAGCCTCTTCCTCCGTGCATTATTGTAGTTTATACCATTATTTCAATTTGTGACAATTTGAGCAGAGAAGTGCCACGTGTGTACAAGAGGCTGATATGCCAGCAATTATAACAGCAATTAATTAAGTGACATTAACACTAGAGTATCTATTCGTTTCTTGCGGAGAAAAGGAGGGGACAAGCTGTTTCAGAGGGTTCAGACCTGCTTGAGTGACGTACACACTTCCAGGAAACTGAGGGAGCCACGCTACACAAGGGGATTAGCTCATGACCTCAGGGAATACGACGTACTTGACTGCTGTAAACCCTCTCGACAGTGTAATATGTCTGCTCCCTGGAAAGCACAGAAAATAGACGTCGAAATTGTACCCCTCAAGGAGAAAAAGATTCATCATGAATCGGGACAATTACGGTGTTTGTATGGAAGCATGATATCTCGGTTACCAAGAGGCAACAGTTTACATGTATATTGCGACGGGTCGGTGGCGGAGGATGGCAGGGCCGGGTGTGGTGTCCTAATAAGGGAATATACGGAGTTTGGGACTGTGGACAGGATAATTGAACTCCGGCTTAGTAATTATATATCATCCACACAAGCTGAACTGCAGGCCATTCTGGCGTGTTTGGAGGAAGTACGTCATGACGACAAAAATGTTTTTGTATTTGTCGATAGCCGAGGAGCACTGGAGTCCTTAAACAGTCGAAACCCAGTCTTCATGTCTATAGTTGAGGACTGTAAGAGAAGAATAACTGAGATACAGCTGAAAGGTTATAGTGTGAAATTCATGTGGATTCCATCTCATGTTGGAATAGTGCTCAACGAGGTGGCGGATGACTTGGCCAAACGTGCCACATCAAAACCACAAGTTGACATTGAATGTGAATTCACAATGAGACAAATAAGAAGCAAAATCAGAAATATTCAGGCACAGGCGGGAGTGGAGAGGAGAGAGATAATGTATGAGAGTAGTCAAACCATGCAACACTACATGTATGTGAGTCAAAACACCCATTTCACTTATGGTAAAAGGAGAAATGCTTGGAGTGACTCTGTGTACATGCGGCTCAGGCTTGGGTACAAATATTACTGGGAATATGGGATAGATGTTCATGATAATGACACGAAGTGTAAACTATGTGGTATGTTAAGGTCTCACACCCTGGCCCATTATGTTCTTGATTGTCCGTTGATTAATGTATATAGAAACACTGAGATAAGGACTGTTCCTGAACAAATAGCCTGGATGTGTCACAACGGAAAGGTTGATGATATTCTTGAGAGATATAAGAATTTTGCACCAAGATTGTAATATTTTGTTGAATTATCTGCATGTGTCTTGCAAATTGTCTATACAGTATACCTAGGTCATAAAAGTATGTGTGTGTACGTCTGATAACATACTACTTGTGAAGGAGGAAATGTATATGTTTATCTCTCAGAATGTTTGGCAATATGTTTATTTGTGATGTGTGTCTATGTATGTATTAACACGTTGTACTGAATGGGGTGAGAATAGCTTGAGCTACCTCATCCCTTTGTGTGTATTTTACCTCAATAAACTTATTTAAATTTCAATTTCAATGTTGTCAATTTACGGAGTGTCTAAACTGCCACTTTTATACAACTACAAATATCTGCGGTTTTACTTAAAAAATATTTGTCTGGGAAAGGTTTTATATAAAGTTTCTATTTCTGTCATTCTTGTGACTAATAAATAATTCAAGTTATCAAGATGTTTTCAACCATATTTTTTCGTCGTATGTGAAGACTCACAGGATGGTGCATGCGGATGAGAGACCTTTTCAATGTGCCGAGTGTGGCAAAAAATTTAGAGAACGTAGAACTATAATACAGCACATGTTAATGCATTCAGGTGACAAACTTCATGAATGTCGATAGAATATTTGATGTTTTTCGAGGTTGTTCCAGTGTTTAACTCTAACTCCTGACAAATCATTTGTAGGTCAGATCGCCATTCTTGAATCAATGACTTTTGAACATCAAGTTTGTCAATCTCATTTGAAACTGTTATTTCCGTCTCTCTGGCCTATTTGAAAATATAATAAATTTTGTTTAGTTAGTTCATTTATTATGCACCCCATACCCATCTTGTGGGCGGTAGTGGAAAGGATTACAGAGGCACATAATGGGCTCAGGGACTGAACCCCACAATTCATTTAGCTAAGCAAGTTACAATCTTGATGAGCTAGTTACAAAATTCAATATAAGTCATCACATCAACAAGGGTTCGAGATCGACCTCAACTACAGGTTCTAAATTAAGCAACTGACATATGTGGAGAGCTAGTGTCAAAAGAATTGCAAAAAACAGCAGATGGTGGGAGGAGAAAGTGGGTGAGTGAGGCATTGAAATTGTTGAGGGAATGGCAAGGGAATGGCAACGAGTAACTGGCTGGTGTGTGGCGGTCACTCCTCGTTGCTTTTCGACTCATAATACCAACTTAGTGGTTTGTTATGGTGAACAAAACATGCAGATAATTATATATAACCTATGTCTAAAGTGTAATAACAGTAAACCTGTTTGTTTATTGTTTTATGAACATAATAATTGAATCACTAATATGCACACCATACTTTTGAGTATAGCGATGATTCACCCCTTTTATTATATAAATCTATCACACTATTGAATAATATTACTGCAAAAAAAAAAAGAAAAAATCAATCAGAAACATTGAAATAATTAGGTAATAATATCTTTGTGGCAACTCTCGCCTGACAGCTCAGGTGATGCTGACCGCCACTCACGACCGCTCTGTCAACGCCCACATTTTGTCAGACTTCCTCGGCCATTTGTGGCCAAAATATGTCACCTACGATTTATTTTTTATTTTTCCTGTGCTCAGGGAACACAAATTAACATTTTTAGAAGACAAAATTATTTTTTAGATTTTTTTTTTTTGTGTAAATCTCCCGAGGACCTCTTAGCAGCTTAAGAAACATGGAGCAGCCTACCTGCCGAACACCGAACGAACCTTTTGCTATAAGACAAATGAAAAAGACATATTGAACACATTTGAAGAAAGAAAAATGCCATAAAGGTTTGTTCAGTGAATGTAAGGTAGGCTGCTCCATTATTTAAAACATCGAATATCATATTGATGTTTTTCGGTGGTAGAACGGATTAATTTGATTTCCATTATTGTCAAAAGGGACATTCGTTTTGTATGACGTACGTTTCACATGACGATCACGGTGCCGGAACGGATTAAATTCGTTATTCGAGGTACCACTGTATCTACATTTTTGTTCAGCATAACGAACCACTAAATTGGTATGCTGAGTCAAAAGGCAGCAAGGACTGGCCGGCACATCAGGCAGCCTGCCACTGGCAGCCACTCCCTCCCTCACCTCACCTGACCACAGCCTCCTCCCACCATACTGTTTGTGCTTTAATTCACTAAATACAGACATTATATATAAGTATCACATGATTTGTTCACCATAGCAAACCACTAAGATGGTATATAGTAAGTGCAAAGAACAATAGGTGGCTGCATAGATTCGGCAGACTATGCTACAGCCCTCCTACCCTCAACATTACTTCTCACACAGTATAGCGCAAACTATCACAACAATCCTGCTGTTATCAGAATCCTGGTCATTTATATCACAGTCAGGGATCTTCTGTAATACTATCATCTCTAAATAATACCAGTTACATATATTTTTAGCATTTTTATGCGATGCTGTAGTCTCAAGCTGAACAGCAATGCTGTGAGCTCATGCTGCGTGCGCCAGCCTTGGTGGCTCACTCAGTACTGAGGCTCTCACACCCAGGAATGTTGCCCATGATTTTTTTTAAATGGCGTCTGTTTACAAGAGCCCTGAGGAAGGTGATGTGAACCCTGTGTATCCGCTGCTATTTAAATCTTGCGAAGTACTCCAAAACTGCACTTGCAGTGTTGCGCACTTTTGTGTCAGTTACTCAAAACTTTATACGCAGTCTTGCGCAGTTTAAGGGTTAAAAAGCACAAGGGATTCGTCAATCACCATCTTGTGAGCTGGTACATAGAAATCACTGTATTCTCCAACAAGTTCATTCAGGATGTGCCTCACCTTCCAAAGTCTATCATCTTCAGTTTAGTTTTCATTACTTGCAAAATGAAGACACATGAGGAGTATCGCAAATCTGTCTCGAGACATATATTTCCCGAACAATGGTGTTGGAACATTCTGGTCTTTGCACCAATAATGGTCGAGTACATGTTTGACACAATGCTTCATCTACATACACAGTGCCAAAAACACATACATTTCACCTAAAGTTGTATCTTTCCATCGTTGTAATCGTGAAAAATAGGATAACTCCTCACGAATGAGATCAGCTGCATATTTGTTCGTTTCCTGAACAATATGTTGCATGAGCGGCTCATCAAAATATGCAGTAAGGTAGTCCATTTCAAACATATTGTCACCTGTATCAGGGAAAAGGTCTGTAATCCCAACATCTGAATTGTCAAAGGCAGTAATTTCTGGAACAAAATCTGTCCCATCACTCTACACATATACACCTGGTGTCTTTCGAAAGGCAACAGCGGCACCACGGCGAGGAATCCATGGACCAGGAACTGAAGCCCGTCTAGAAACAGTACGGGTGGAAAGGGACGATGATAGAAAATTAGTTGATGTTGAGGGGCTTTGTTCATCAGTGTCCCCATGTGGTGCCATGCGGTGCCGCATGGTTGGACTAGATGCTGCTGACACAACAAAATGTTGCTTGGCAACACCACACACTCCACTGGCACCAGTGGTAGCAAAACTATTTTCTGATTCTAAATCACTAAAACCAGAAAATGATTCACCTCTCTCCAAATTGTCGACCAAAACATAAAAATCTGACAAAGTAACACATGAACTATGTGGATTGGCATGAAATGGTGTCAATTGTGGGTGGGGAAGCATGGGTGAGGAGCTAGGCCTAGCCCTCGTGGCACCAGCATGTTCACTCGGAGTAGTCAATATCAGGTTCATCACCATCCAGGAAAAAATTCTGATTAATTTCATCCTCAGTCAAAGGCCGCTATGTGCGCTTTACTGAGCAGGGTCGGTTGGTGGAACGTGATGCGCTCGCCATGGTCTCTGTCGGGCAACTGAGGCCTGCAGTCAATGGCGGCCTATGCTGGATTTTTTCCCCGGGTGGTGTCTGTTTACATTCGGGGTCGGCTTGACTATACCTGCTCCTATCCCTCACGGGGCATTTCAAATTGTTCGCTAGACCCTCAATCATATATGTATGAATTGAGCAGTTTTGGGAAAGTTACTACCATCGTATATGTATGTATGTATTGCGTGGTTTAAGGGTTAATCCTATGTTCCCGGGGCATTTTCCGCGACTCTGCCTCTTTCAGCAGATTGGGATAGTCTGGCACATGGCTGGTTTGGTCTACTCCTTTGCTCTTCATGTCTGGTCTTTTTGGCGTGGGTGTATCACCACTTGTATGGTGATCAGGTGGGTTCATTGAAGGTGTCTCACCTGCGAGCTTCTTCTCGGCAACAATATGAAGTTTCCTGGTGTTCTTTTCGCCATTTCCTCTCTCTTTGTAGGCTGTCTTTAATTTCTGTTCGGGTTGTTTTGTCCTTTCTTTCTTGGCTTTTTCATGACCATCATTTGATGCTTATTACTGTCGCCTCTTATCTTGCAGCGCTGGCGGAGCCGCTCCAGCTTGTGTTTAGGGTGAATGTCATTTCCGCCCCATTCTGCAAGCTTTCTCATGTATAGTTTCACCTCTGGCCAGCTCATGTGCTGCCGGAACCGTTTTGGTCCTTGGACTGGGTGCTCTCTTTTGCCCTCTTTTCCTCGGTTTGTGGTGGCCCCTTCAGTTCAAGATTGTTTTCCAAGGTTCTGTTTCTGTTGGCATTGGCCTCTGGGGGTTGGGTTGGTGAGCTTCATGCTCTCCTGCGCAGGGGTTTTGCTCTTTCAGTCTTGGTGGTCGGTTTGTTCAGTTGCAGCCGTCTATTTCTTTTCTGGTGGAGATTGAGACGGCGGCTTTCTGGAGGGGGTCCTTGGAACATTGATGCTTGGTTGATCAGGCTGGGAGTACATCATGTGTTAGGTCTGGTTGCGGCTATCCGCCGTTATCTGCACACCTCGGCCTCAGTGGCCGGTTAGCAGTGCAAATTGAGAGTAGTGCAAATACCGAGGCTCCTCTGTACAAAGAAATTATGAAAATAATATGTAATTTTTATCAGGAAATATTGTGCAGTACTGTAATATTATTTTTTATTGTAAATACATCTAGATTTACCAAATATTTTATCCACAGGATAACAAGCCAGAGGAATGTTCAGTGTGTTTTAATGATTATGATGACAATCAGCTACGACCTCGCACACTGCCGTGCGGCCACACATTCTGCTCCCAGTGTATTGACAATGCTATCAAGAATGGTCAGCTGACCTGCCCCAGCTGCCGTGCCGAGCACGCTGCCACAGCTGCAACTCAGTTCCCAATTAGCTATGCTGTGGAGGCTTTAGTTAGGAAACTCAAAAATATCCAGCTAACAACTCAGGAAGCAGTGCCAGCAAAACCTTATGAAGGTCCCGCCAGAGGCATCAGTAAGAAGTTACGTTCCCTGGTGCAGGAGCAGAAGAGCAGCATCAGCAGCCTCATTATTAGCTGTGAAGAGGTACTGTTCCAGCTGGGGGAGTACCGGGGGCAGCTGGGGGACTGGAAGACTCACCACCTCCAGCTCCAGGACAGACTCTATGCTCTGGTAGAGCAGAACAAGTCAGCAATGCAGCTCTTGGAACTGGAGGATACCAGTGTGATAGATATGACAACACAAGGAGAGGAAGGGAAGACTCAGCTGCAGGCCATGTTGGGGAACCTCGACATAGTCAACACCCTACAGGAGGTTGACACAACCATAGGCACAGCTGATGAGTGCAGCATGAAGATTGAAGATTGGCTCCAGAAGTGCCAGGAACTTTTCCCAAATGTCAAGACTATCCACACCTCAGTGAAGGTACGCTGCTGAAGGTCACATTGTTTTCACCCAACTGAGTGTAGTATTGCCTCTGTATAAACACTTTTGACATAGAGACACATAAAGATGAGAGTTGACTTCATGTATAGGAAACTTTTTGCTCTAACACTTGAAACATTTTTATTAATAAATTCAACTGTCATCTTGGTGTTTCTCTACACTGTGGTCTGTGTAGAGAAACATTACTTATATTGTCAAATTACTTTACTCAATCTGATGCTTCATTATAGCCCAGTTACTTTACTCAGAGCCTGATGCTTCATTATAGTCCAGTTACATTACTCAGAGCCTGATGCTTCATTATAGTCCAGTTACTTTACTCAGAGCCTGATGCTTCATTATGGTCCAGTTACTTTACTCAGAGCCTGATGCTTCATTATAGTCCAGGTTCCACCATTAATGTTTGTGTTGGTAATGACAGGTGCAGGAGACCATCAGGGAGGCCCTGGAGATGATGACCACAGAGACAGGTGCCACAGCTGACCCCGTACACCTGGGAGACTCAGCCTCTACCATTAATGTTTGTGTTGGTAATGACAGGTGCAGGAGACCATCAGGGAGGCCCTGGGGATGATGACCACAGAGACAGGTGCCACAGCTGACCCCGTACACCTGGGGCCAGATTCACGAAAGCACTTACGAACGTGTACATCTTTCCTCAATCTTTGACGGCTTTGGTTACATTTATTAAACAGTTTACAAGCATGAAAACTTCCCATTCAACTGTTGTTATTGTTATAAACAGCCTCCTGGTGTTTCGGAGCTCATTAACTGTTTAATAATTGTAAACAAAGCCGCCAAAGATTGAGAAAAGATGGACAGGTTCGTAAGTGTTTGCGTAACTGCTTCGTGAATCTGGCCCCTGGGAGACTCAGCCTCCACCATTAATGTTTGTGTTGGTAATGACAGGTGCAGGAGACCATCAGGGAGGCCCTGGAGATGATGACCACAGAGACAGGTGCCACAGCTGACCCCGTACACCTGGGAGACTCAGCCTCCAGCATCATGAATAAAGTTCAGGGAATTACTGGAGAGATACCCAAGAAGCAATTAACAGTAAGTTTTTTATTTTCTCTCATAGGTCATATCACAAGATATTGAGTTGCGCTTTGAGGAGAGGAAGCCTGTTCTTAGGTTTATTGGGGTTCCCCAAGGTCAACTACTGACTTTCCTTAACAAACAATCTAAAATAGTTGTCTTACTCCTAGAAAAATATATTCAGGTAGGTGAACAGATACATCAGGTGAAAGGAAACATGGGATCCATTTCAGGCCTGCATGGTGATTTAACCCATGATCCTCTTTTGAACCCGGGATCCTGGCCCCTCTCACAGAGGCACAGAGAGCGGGTGACACTCCACCAACCTACCGGGAAAGCATCCAGGAAGACAGTGAACCAAAACAGACCGCTGCTGGGTTCGAAGAGACTGAAGCCTTGAAACTGCCAACAAACTCCCAAACAATGCCAGCACCAACCCCTTGCCAGTAGAGGAGGGCTGGAGCTACAGGTCCAGCACCAACCCCCTGCCAGTAGAGGGCAGCTGGAGCTACAGGTCCAGCACCAACCCCCCCTGCCAGTAGAGGGGGGCTAGAGCTACAGGTCCAGCACTAACCCCCTGCCAGTAGAGGGGGGCTGGAGCTACAGGTCCAGCACCAACCCCCTGCCAATAGAGGGGGGCTGGAGCTACAGGTCCAGCACCAACCCCCCCCTGCCAGTAGAGGGGGGCTGGAGCTACAGGTCCAGCACCAACCACCCTGCCAGTAGAGGGGGGCTGGAGCTACAGGTTCAGCACCAACCACAATGCCAGTAAAGGGGGGGCTGGAGCTATAGGTTCGGCACCAACCCCCTGCCAGTAGAGGGGGGCTGGAGCTACAGGTTCAGCACCAACCACCCTGCCAGTAAAGGGGGGGCTGGAGCTACAGGTTCAGCACCAACCACCTTGCCAGTAAAGGGGGGGCTCGAGCTATAGGTTCGGCACCAACCCCCTGCCAGTAGAGGGGGGCTGGAGCTACAGGTTCGGCACCAACCCCTTGCCAGTAGAGGGGGGCTGAAGCTACAGGTTCGGCACCAACCCCCTGCCAGTAAAGGGGGGCTGGAGCTACAGGTCCAGCACCGTCCCCCTACCAGCAGCGGGGTGCTGGAGCTACAGATCCAGGACCAACCCCCTGCCAAAAAAGGGGGGCTGCAGCTACAGTTATAAGACCAACCCCCTGCCAGTAGAGGGGCTACTGGTCCAGCACCAACTCTCTGCCAATAGAGGGGGACAAGAGCTACAGGTCCAGCACCAACCCCCTGCAAGTAGAGAGGGGCTTGAGCTACAAGTCCAGCACCAACCCCCTGCCGGTAGAGGGGAGCTGGAGCTACAGGTCCAAGACCAACCCCCTGCCAAAAAAGGGGGGCTGCAGCTACAGTTATAGGACCAACCCCCTGCCAGTAGAGGGGGGGGGGCTAGAGCTACAAGGCCAGCACTAACCCCCTGCAAGTAGAGGGTGGCTGGAGCTACAGGTTCAGCACCAACCCCCCTGCCAGTAGAGGGGAGGGGCTGGAGCTACAATTCCAGCACCAACACCTTGACAGTAGAGGGGGGCTGGAGCTACATGTCCAGTACCAACCCCCTGCCAGTAGAGGGGGGGCTGGAGCTACAGGTCTTGCACCAACCCCCTGCCAGTAGAGGGGGGCTGGAGCTACAGGTTCAGCACCAACCCCCTGCCAGTAGAGAGGGGGGGGGGAGCTGGAGCTACAGGTCCAGCACCAACCCCCAGCTAGTACAGGGGGGCTGGAGCTACAGGTCTAGCACCAACCCCCTGCCAGTAGAGGGGGGCTGAAGCTACAGGTCCAGCACCAACCCCCACCCAGCAGAGGGGGGTTGGAGCTACAGGTTCAGCACCAACCCCTTGTCAGTACAGGGGGGCTGGAGCTACAGATTCAGCACGAACCTCCTGCCAGTAGAGGGGGGCTGGAGCAACAGGTCTAGCACCAACCCCCTGCCAGTAGAGGGGGGGGGCGGGGCTGCACGTTCAGCACTAACCCCCTGCTAGTTGAGAAGGGGCTGGAGCTACAGGTCCAGCACCAACCCCCCGCCAGTATAGAGGGGCTCGAGCTACAGGTCCAACATCAACCCCCTGCCAGTAGAGGGGGGGGGCTGGAGCTACAGGCCAAGCACCAACCCCTTGCCAGTAGAAGGGGGCTGGAGCTACAGGTCCAGCACCAACCCCCTTCCAGTAGTGGGGGGGGGGGGGGGCTGGAGCTTCAGGTCCAGCACCAACCCACTGCCAGTAGAGGGGAGGGGGGCTGGATCTACAGGTCCAGCACCATCCCCCTGCCAGTAGAGGAGGGGGGCTGGAGCTACAGGTCCAGCACCAACCCCCTGCCAGTAGAGGGGGGCTGGCGCTACAGGTCCAGCTTCAACCCCAAGCCAGTAGAGGGGGGCTGGAGCTACAGGTCTAGCACCAACCCCCTGCCAGTAGAGGGGTGCTGGAGCTACAGGTCCAGCACCAACCCCTTGCCAGTAGAGGGGGCTGGTGCTACAGGTCCAGCTTGAACCCCGTACCAGTAGAGAGGGGGATGGAGCTACAGGTCCAGCACCAACTCTCTGCTAGTAGAGGGGGGATGGAGCTACAGGTCCAGCACCATCCCCCTGCCAGTAGAGGGGGGCTGGAGTTACAGGTCCAGCACCAACTCCATGCCAGTAGAGGGGGGCTGGAGTTACAGGTCCAACACCAAGCCCCTGCCAGTAGAGAGACGCTGGAGCTACAGGTCCAGCACCAACCCCCTGCCTGTAGAGGGGGGGGGGGCTGAAGCTACAAATCCAGCACGAACCCCCTGCCAGTTGGAGGGGGCCTGGAGCTACAGGTCCTGCACCAACCCCTTGCCAGTAGAGGGGGCCTGGGGCTACAGGTCCAGCACCAACCCCCCTGCCAGTAGAGGGGGGCTGGAGTTACAGGTCCAGCACCAACCCCATGCCAGTAGAGGTGGGCTGGAACTACAGGTCCAGCCCCAACCCCCCTGCCAGTAGAGGGGGGCTGGAGTTACAGGTCCAGCACCAACCCCATGCCAGTAGAGGGGGGCTGGAGCTACATGTCCAGCACGATCCCCCCTGCCAGTAGAGGGGGGGGGGCTTGAGCTTCAGGTCCAGCACCAACCCCCCTGTCAGTAGAGGGGGGCTGGAGCTACAGGTCCCGCACCATCCCCGTGCCAGTAGAAGGGGGCTGAAGCTACAGGTCCAGCACCAACCCCATCCAGTAGAGGGGGGGCTGGAACTACAGGTCCAGCATCAACCCCCCTGCCAGTAGAGGGGGGCTGGAGCTACAGGTCCAACACCAACCCCATGCCAGTAGAGGAAGGGCTGGAGCTACAGGTCTAACACCAACCCCATGCCAGTAGAGGAAGGGCTGGAGCTACAGGTCCAGCACCAACCTCCCTCAGCCAGTTGAGGGAAGGGGGGGGGGGGTTGGAGTTACAGGCCCAGCACCAAAGCACTGCCAGTAGAGTTGGGCAGGAGTTACAGGTCCAACATCATCCCCCTGCCAGTAGAAGGGGGCTGGAGCTACCGGTCCAGCACCAACCCCCTGCCAGTTGAGGGGCGCTGGAGCTACAGGTCAAGCACCAACCCACTGCCAGTAGAGAGGGGCTGGAGCTACAGGTCCCGCACCAACCTCATGCCAGTAGAGGGGGGCTGGAGCTACAGGTCCAGCACCTACCCCATGCCAGTAGAGGGGGGCTGGAGCTACAGGTCCAGCACCAACCCACTGCCAGTAGAGGGGGGGGCTGGAGCTACAGGTCCAGCACCAACTCCCTGCCAGTAGAGGGGGGCTGAAGCTACAGGTCCAGTACCAACCCAACCCCCCCTGCCAGTTGAGTTGGGGGGGGGGGGATCTGGAGCTACAGGTCCAGCAGCTACCCCCTGCCAGTTGAAGGGAGGTCGGAGCTACTGGTCCAGCACCAACACCCTGCCAGTAGAGGGGGGCTGGAGCTACATGTGCAGCACCAACCCCCTGCCAGTAGAGTAGGGGCTGGAGCTAGAGGTCCAGCACCAACCCCCTGCCAGTATAGAGGGGCTCAAGCTACAGGTCCAGCACCAACCCCCTGCCTGTAGAGGGGAGGCTGGAGCTACAGGTCCAGCACCAACTCCCTGCCAGTAGAATTGGGCTGGAGCTACAGGTCCAGCACCAACCCCCTGCCAGTAGAGGGGGCTGGAGCTACAGGTCCAGCACCAACCCCCTGCCACTATAGAGGGCTCGAGCTACAGGTCCAGATCCATAGCACTGCCAGTAGAGTTGGGCTGGAGTTACAGATCCAACATCAACCTCCTGCCAGTAGAAGGGGGCTGGAGCTACCGGTCCAGCACCTACCCTCTGCCAGTTGAGGGGCGCTGGAGCTACAGGTCCAGCACCAACCCACTGCCAGTAGAGGGGGGCTGGAGCTACGGGTCAAGCACCAACCCCTTGCCAGTAGAAGGGGGCTGGGCTACAGGTCCAGCACCTACCCCTTGCCAGTTGAGAGGGGGGGGGGCTGGAGCTACAGGCCCAACACCAACCCCCTGCCAGTAGAGGGGGCTGAAGCTACAGGTGCAGCACCAACACACTTCCAGTAGAGGGGGGCTGGAGCTTCCGGTCCAGCACCAACCCACTGCCAGTAGAGGGGGGCTGGAGCTACAGGTCCAGCAACATCCCCTTGCCAGTAGAGGGGGGTGGAGCTACAGGTCCATTACCAACCCCCTGCCAGTAGAGGGGGGCTGGCGCTACAGGTCCAGCTTCAACCCCCAGCCAGTAGATGGGTGCTGGAGCTACAGGTCCAGCACCAACACCCTGCCAGTAGAGGGGGATGGTGCTACAGGTCCAGCACCAACCCCGTACCAGTAGAGGGGGGGGGGGCTGGAGCTACAGGTCCAGCACCAACCCCCTGACAGTAGAGGGGGGTGGAGCTACAGGTCCAGCACCAAACCCCTGCCAGTAGAAGGGGGCTGGAGCTACAGGTCCAGCACCAACCCCTGCCAGTAGAGGGGGGCGGGAGCTACATGTTCACCACCAACCCCCTGCCAGTAGAGGGGGGCTGGA